GTTTAATATCCTTTTAATTATGACAAAAAGGAAGAGAAAGTAGTGATGATTTTGATATATATATATATATATATATATATATATATATATATATATATATATATATATATATATATATATATATATATATATATATATATATATATATATCATTGCTTACATTTCTAACAAATATATACATGCTAAAGCTTTTAGAAATGTATTTTAGGTACAAGGTAAATGAATTAATAACTTCTAAAGTCGAGAACGTTCAATAAATCACATTGTGATAAAAAGAACTTCTAATGTTTGAAATGGTCTGTTGATCAAACTCTGATAAAAGAAATTCGAGAGTATAGAATATTCTGAGAGATGAGTGTTGATAACTAACTTTAAAACATACAAAAGGGTCTAATAGATCAAGCTATGAAAATGTACCTATCTGATGATTAGAAGGTTATAATAAAGAAAGAATGTCTGATAAAGCAAACTCTGATAAACCGCTTCCATTCGCTTTAAATCAAAATTCTGAGAAAGGATAACAATGCTCTTAAGCTCTGAAAGATCATAAATTTATGATTCAGGGGGAGATTGTTTATCCCAGGGGGATTTTCCAACTCAGGGGGAGTTTTCTAAACTCTTATATTACTTTGTTTATGATTTAACTCTGTAAAATTGTTCTATCAAAATACATGGTTTTGACATAATCAAAAAGGGGGAGATTGTTAGAATAAGATTTGTGTCTACAATATAATCTCAATGATTTGATGATAACAACACATATATTTGATGAGAAAAAATTTTAGTTCTAATAAATTTCTTGAGTGTGCAAATAAAAAATTCTAATTGATTCAGGATTGTTGTCTAGAGAACCGGAAATATGCCAAGTACATCAGAAATACTGTTTACAATCACTTCTGAAGAAACATCAGTAGTTTGGAAGAATGTTGAATGTTCACCAGAAAGAGGATGTGTACTTCTCAACAAGTTGTTGCTTTGGAAGTCATAAGTCACAAGAAGAAAGAATTTCTGACAAGCTGTTGTTTTGTGAAAAAAAACTAGATTGTACAAGAAAACAAGCCTTCAACGCAAAATATCAGAAGTCATGACTTTCTCATCAAAAGAGTTATTGCTCAAATTTCTGAAGACAAAGTCAAAGTTCTGAAGACTCGGATAGTTCATGAACTCCGCACTTCTAATCAACATCAGAAGTATTTCCTCATAGAGAAATAATTCATGATCAGACACCAAGATATGGCTGACATAAGTTGTTACTTTCAGCCTAATACAAAGATCATAAAGAAAAGACTCAACATCAAAATCAGATGTACTGATATAAACTTCTGATTCAAAAATCAGAAATCAGATATGCTGCTCAGGAAAGTTGATTATAAAGAATAAAGGATCATATCAAGAAGTTAAGACCAGAAAAGCTTTCGCTCAAAGAAGACATTGTTCATCAGATAAGATGTTGCTTATAAATCTGAAGACAATATTCAACTATCTGAAATACTCTGACTCTACAATAATGAAACATCTTTTGGATCATTTTTATCATCATATCATAATCAGTCTAGCAAGAAGAAAAGAAGACAAAGACAAGATCAAGAGACATATTCCATTCTTACTAATTCAAACTAGATGTAAATCATCAGGAGATAAGGTCTTAAGAAACTTAGCCACGAAGAATATAGTATACTCAATACGTTTAAAATTCACTACATGCTTACATATTGTACTATGTTGTCTCCCATGATGAAATGCTACCATTATTGTAGCTGACAATTGAAAGCGACGTCTTTGTACTGCCAACAGTATAATTCTCAAAGTCAATATAAAGAGACCTCATCAGCATTTGAAGATACACAAACTACACAACATTATCAAGCTTGAATTAAATTGCTGAAATACTGAGAAACATCAAGAGAAAAGAAGAATTAATATTCATATACATCTATAAATATTCTTCTAGAGAAATATCAAGAACACAAGAGTTGTTGCTCATTATTTTTTTAAAGATATTAGGGATTAAACACAAAGAGTTTTTGCTTATTCTTTGTGTTTTATCTTAGAGTTCTCAATATAAAGAGTTGTTGCTCATTATTTGTATTAGAGACTTTGTTCTTCATTGTTGTGTTAATATACTTTTTAGAAGCAAACATTGTAAACACAATTGATTGTAATTTTGTTAAGAATTGATTATTGCCTCAAGTGACTAGGTTGTTAGTTTGAGACTTGAGAGGGCTAATGTGTCAGTTTGGACTCTTAGACGGTTGTAGTTAGTCAACGGTAGGTAGCTTGTGCATTTGTAATTTGTTGAGATTAGTGGATTAAGTCCTTGTTGAAGGCAAAATCACCTTGGTGGGTGGACAAGAGTAACCTTGTTGAAGGTGAAATTGTATAAAACAAAAGAGTCACTTTATTCTTTTCTAAGTCATTTCTTTATGGTTAGTTTGTGAAATATTTTTAGAGAAAAGTTTATTAGAAAACTCAATTCAAACCCCCATTTCTTGTGTTTTTCTCACCCTTCAGTGTGCATCTGGTATATTGAACCCTTCAAGGAGTTTCATGTAAATTTCACTATCAAGTGAACCATACAGATAAGCTGTTACAACATTCATCATGTGCAAATTAAGCCCTTCATGTGCAACAAGTTTTATTAGATATCGAAAAGTGCTTGCATCCATTATAGGTGAATATGTTTCATCAAAATTAATTCCAGGTTTTTGTGAAAATCCTTGAGCAACAAGTCGAGCTTTATATCTCACATTTTATTTTTTTCATTATGTTTTCGTACGAAAACCCATTTATATCCAATTAGCTTTACACCTTTAGATTTTCGGACTACAGGTCCAAAAACTTGTCTTTTGTAGAGTGAGCTTAATTTTGCTTCAATTGTATCTTTCCATTTTGGCCAATCCTCACTTTGTCTATAAATTTTAATGGATGTTGGTTCGTGATCCTCTTTGCTATTTATCTCATTTAGCGCTATATTGTATGCAAAAACATCATCAAGGTCGACTTCATTTCAGTTCCATTGTATTCCATTTTGGACATAATTTATTGAGATCTCTTTATTTTCATGAGTTTCAGGTACCTGGTCAATCTCTTCTAGAGATAAAATGTTTATTATGTCTAATGCTTCTTTTAGATTCTCTATATCCTCACTTGGGCCATCTTTATTCTTAGCTCCCTTTCTTGTTCTAGGATTTTTATCTTTGGAACCGATTGGTCTGCCACGCTTCAGGGGTGGTTGAGACTCATTGATTTGTCCAACAGGGATATCAATTTTTATTGAGGGGTGGTTGAGACTCATTGATTTGTCCAACAGGGATATCAATTTTTATTGAAGCATTTGCAACTGGTATATATGATTTAGTCACACAGTTTGGATTAGTGAGTACATTTGGTAATTGATTTGCTAAGTTTTGCAACTGAATTAACTTTTGAACTTCTAGTTCACATTGTTTTGTTCGAGGATCAAAATGAGATAATGATAATTCATTCCAATTGATCTCTTTTTCCAGCTTCTTATTATCTCCCCCTAATGCTGAAAAATTTGATTCATCAAAATGACAATCAGCAAAACGAGCAGTGAATAAATCTCCTGTTGTTGGTTCAAGGTATTTTACAATGGATGGAGATTCATATCCAACATATATTCCATTCTCATTTGAGGATCCATCTTATTGCACTATGGTAGAGAAATTGGAACATACACCGCACATCCAAAAATTCTTAGATGAAAAATATTAGGTTCTTTACCAAAAACTAATTGTAAAAGGGAAGAGGTGTGGTAACTCTTTGGCCTGATGTGAATCAATGTTGCAGCAAGCAAAATTGCATGTCCCCAAGCAGAAATTGGGAGTTTGCATCTCATAATAGTGGTCTTGCAATTACGTTTATTTGTTTAATAAATGATTTTGCAAGTCCATTTTGTGTATGAACATGTGCTACTGGGTGTTCAATGTCAATTCCAATAGACATAAAATACTCATTAAATGCATGCGATGAAAATTCTGCAGCCTTATCAAGACGTATTTTCTTGTCAGTATAATCGAGAAAACAAGCTCTTATTCGAATCAGTTGAGCTAGCAATCTCGCAAACGCCTGGTTGCGAGTTGACAACAAACAAACATGTGACCATCTAGTTGATGCATCAATTAAAACCATAAAATATCTAAATGGTCCACGTGATGGATGCATTGGCCCACAAATATCACCATGTATACGCTCTAAAAAACTTATAGATTCATTTCTAATTTTTGTTGGTGATGGTCAAATTTTATTTGATTGAATAATTTCCCTAGTCATTAATTGATGACCGCATGAATTCTCAATTATTTTTCGCATCATTATATAATCAGGATGGCCCCACCGGTCATGCCAAATTAGAAATTTATCATTATTTGTAAACTTTTGGTTTACAATTGTATGTGCTTCAGTTATACTAATATAAGTGTAGTACAAGTCAGAGGATAAAGCTTGTAGCTTTTCCATTATACATTTTGTGTCCGAATTGTGTTTTGTAATACAAAGGTATTCAATCCTTCCATCATCTTCTGTTTCAATATGGTATCCATTTAGGCGAATATCTTTGAAACTTAATAAATTTATATGAGACATATGGGAATATAATTCATTATCAATGTTGAATATTGTTCCTCCATGTAACAACATATTGGCTCTTCCGGAGCCTTCAACTATTTTCGAGGTGTCAAATATAGTACTGACATCAGTCTTTCGATTCACTAAATTATAGAAATATCCTTTTATCCTTGAGAATTGTATGAGTTGTTGCACTATCAACAAGACACATATCTTCATTATTGGTGTTAGTGTCCACATTCATTCTAAAAGCAATAATAATTTTTAAGAATAAGTTATAAAACACAAATTATTTAAACAATAAATCATGTGAATAAACATATAGAAAACACAATTTATTATTATTAGAAAATAAAATTCAATACATCCATAAAAAAACTTATTAATAACTAAAAAGGAAATTTTCATAAATTTTATTTCTTGACACTTCCATCTTCAATAAGGTGATCAATTTTTCCATCTGGATCAACAAAGAGATCACCAACATCTAAATGGATAACATCCATATTACTGTAATCTAGATCATTATCTTCATTAGTAAAGTGAGATTCAATAATTGCCTTTTTATTTTTCATTGATTTTTTATAAAGATCAACAAGGTGTTTTGGAGTGCGAGATGTGCGACTCCAATGACCTTTTCCTCCATAACGATAACAAGTATTTCCATTGGTTTTGCTACTCTGACCCTCTTTTTCATTCTTTTCAACATTTTTCAATGCTGGTAGAAATATGTGTTCTTATGATTACCATTGCAACTATGATCAAAATCAAGACCATGAGCATAATTACGACCACGGCCATGTGGACATGCACGATCGCGACCATAGTTTTTTTCATAGTGATCATGTCTTGCTGCATTCACTTCTGGATGGAGTTGTATCAGTGAGACGAGCCTCGTGATTTTTCATTAATAGTTCATTATTTTTCTCAACCACAAAAAGACAAGATATTAGGTCAGAATAATTATTAAATCCTTTTTCTTGATATTGCTGCTGGAGGAGCACATTGGATGCATGAAAAGTGGAAAATATTTTTTCTAACATATCTTCATCAATTACGTTTTCTCCACAACGTGTCAGCTTAGAATTTTTTGAACATTGCAGAATTATAATCACTTGCACTTTTAAAATCTTGCAAACGTAAATGCATCCACTCATATCGAGCTTTTGGTAGGATTACCGTTTTTTGATGATCATATCTATCTTTCAAATTTTTCAACAAAATATGTGGATCAGTTACGATAAGGTATTCATTTTTAAGATCCTCATAAAGGTGACGACGAAGAAATATCATAGTTTTTTCCTTTTATTGATCAGATGATTTATTTCCTTCTATAATAGTGTCGCCATGACCTTCTGCACTTAAATGAATTTTAGCGTCTAGAGCCCATATCAAATAGTTGTTTCCCGAAATATCAAGAGTCATAAAATCCAATTTCGTAAGATTTGACATACTTAGTTCTATTATTAAAAAAAAATAAAAATTAGATAAAAAAATTAAGTATTAAAAACTTATAATGAGATAATTATTATAAAGATAATATTAAATATTATTATTTAAAAATAACACTTTTGTAAATTCCAATATTTAAAATAACACAGTAGTAAATTGGATTGTTACATTAGTCTTCAAATTATCTATTAAAAAAAAATAAACTAAATATAATGACATAATACTTCTTGCATTTTCTTTTAATTGTTAGCTAATCTAAAATCTAAATTGTTAATTCGATCAAAATCATGAAATAATAATATCTCAAACGAATTTCAAACTCTTAAATCCCGGTATTTTAAGATAACAATTAATATATAGAGTGTTTACATTAACAAAACAAATTCTCCACTATCTTCTTTATGAGGAACAAAAATTTTCTTATTCCATTTTAAACGAAAAACATAACAAATAGAGTCATACAGGTTCTTCAGAAACTATACAATGTTATTTTGTTATCCATCAGAGATGTTATGCTTTATAAGTTCTTCAAAAATTATATGAATGATTTGTTACAAACAATAATCTAAAAATTATAATCATCCTTCAGTGATGCGTTGAAATTATTTGTGTCATTCTTTTGGAATGACAATCTTTTGACAACCATTTAAAATTACAAAAGTCACCAATAATAATAAGAATAAATTATATCACATCCTCAACTATTTTTATTTATTTATATGATGGTCCAAAATTAATTTGATATAGAAGTGAGAGAATCATACCTAAAAGCGTCGTGCTGATAATGTATTATAAAACTAAATATAATAATAGAGAGATCAAAGAGAGAGAGAAGAGAAAAATTCAAATTATATTCTCATATTTCAAAAGATATATTTTACACTATAATATAATCTTATTTATAAGATCTAAAGAGGATGAAAAATCAAAGTCATTAAAAAAAAATATAAAAAAAGAAAAAAAAGAATAAGAATGAACATTCACTATTATCTTTATTCATAACACATTTTAATTATTATTATTATTTTCAGAAATAACTTAGAAATATGGAGAATGAAATCCCAATAAGTGAGGGAATAATTTCCTAATAAGTATAGACAAGTGCCTGATTTCATTGGTGGTGGTTTCCAATTACCATTGCATCCGATGCACATCAATTAATAGTATTGGTCCTTCACCTTGGAAGAAAGAGCTATCTAATCTTCATATATTTTAATTTCATAAACAAATGTAGACTAATAGTCTGACACCAGTACTTTTTTCTAAGGTGGTAAAAAATATTAGATTCTTGTTTAAATTTTAAATTCATATTCTATAATAAATTTGTTCCACTCCTTTATCCGAGTAGAGATATTAATGAGATAAATATTTAATTTATAATTTTTAAATTTTATAAATTTAATATCTTTAAATTTGTCGTACATTCTCATATTTTTGTAAGATGAGTCGAGATTTTAATCTCACACTCTTTATTATATTTATCGCACCTCGTCTTATTTCTCTATGTGTTTTTATGAAATAAAATTAAAAATATAGACATATTTATTTGTCACACCTACTCTTTTATTTTCGTAAAAAGTCTAAATTTTTTTTATCAATTAATTTATTTGAAGTGTATCGAACACTAATATAAATATATATCATAATTAATATTTATTTTTTAGATTGTCATGTACTACTATAAATCAGTTTTTAATTCTTGACTAAAAAAATAGTACACAGTAATAGTGTGCTATTAAAATAGAACTATAAAATGCATATACATTAATAGTTAAAAAAAAGAGGTGGATGTTTAGCGGTTTTAAGCATTTGTGCTTAAAAAGTGAAGACACTTAAAAACAACAATAGGGATTTGGTCCCTTGAACGTTAACAAAACACACATATCATATAATAGAATAAAATAAGATAAGATGTTTGGTAATTTTAACAAGTGTCAGTGTCTTGTGCATTCTTATATGGATGCATTTTAAAAAAAAAGAAAGTTTTAATTTAAAAAATTGTATTATATTTTTAATTTTAAATTAATTAAACTTTGATTGTTATGATACACGTGAAGTTTTTACTTTTTGGGTTATTGGGAAGCTCAAATGTCCGCTTTGTTAGAATATAGTTTGATTCTACAACCATTGATTAGAATTTTGATGATAACAAATACAAAGAATAAATAATAAAATACAAAGAACAAATATGCACCTTAAAAATTATGTTTTATGTATGTAGAAGTTCTGATCATATCAGCATCAGAAGATAAGTCATAAGTGCTACACGCTGAAGCAATCAGAACATGCGCTGAAGATTGATGACCAGAACATGCGCTTAATCAAAGTAAACTCTGATTCTAAACAAGAACATACCAATCCAAGTCATCAATATTCTGAAGCGTCATCAGCAGGCAAGGAGATAAGATTCTGAAACGTTACTGATCATTCAAGACAACATCAATTCCAACGGCTTCTTTCAGACATGATCTTCTCCAAATGGAAAGTGTGTTAATGACATTAAAAATGCTTTATGATCAACGTCATTCCACTGCCTATATAAACGAAGTCAGCTTTCAAAATCAAATACAATTTTGCTATATTACCACTCATGCATATTTAAAGCTGCAAGCAATATTCTTTATATTTCCAAGCTATAATCCAGTGTAATTTATCACAGTTGTGATAAACAGTTTTGTTAGAAACATAACAACACATATCCTGTATACTTACATTGAAACAATGTTCCTTGAGATTAATCGGACTGGGTTGTACTCAAGAAGACTTTAACAATTGTTAAAGTAGCTTTTGTAATATTGTTAAGATTAGTGGATTGAGACCTCGTTGGAGAGACGCGAAATCACCTTGACGGGTGGACTGGAGTAGTTTGAGATCAAACGAACCATGATAAAAATACTGTGTCATTGAGTTGTTAATTTCAAGTTTTCAATTCACCCCCCCCCCCCCCCCCTCTTGTATTTTTCACATCTTCAATTGGTATCAGAGCACCTGGTTCTGAGATTAAACATTTAACCGTGTCAGTACAAGATCCAAGCTTCAGAAAAACACTATGGTGGGACCAAGCCAAAACATCAGCAATGACAACCATGAAGACAAGGATAAATTCAGTGGCAAACCTCCAGTCTTTGATGGAGAAAACTTTGACTACTGGAAAGACAAAATTAAGAGTTTCTTTCTGGCTCATGATGCTGATCTGTGGGACATGGTGACTGATGGATACACGCACCCAGTGAATGGACGTGGTCAGAAGATAGACAGAAAAATGATGTCTGATCAACAAAAGCGTGAATTCAGAAACCACCACAAGGCCAAAACAATACTTCTCAGCGCCATCTCATACTCAGAATATGAGAAAATATCAAACAGAGAGACTGTCAAGAACATGTTTGACTCTCTGAGAATGACGCATGAAGGCAACATTCAAGTCAAAGAGACCAAGGCCCTTGCACTCATTCAGAAGTATGAGGCATTAAAAATGGAAGATAGTGAATCTATAGAAACTATGTTTTCAAGATTCCAAATCCTTGTTGCTGGACTAAAGGTTCTTGACAAAGGGTACTCCACTGCTGATCACATTAAGAAGATCATCAGAAGTTTGCCCAAACAATGGAGGCCAATGGTCACAGCACTTAAGCTAGCCAAAGATCTCAACAAAAAATTTTCTGGAGGAACTTGTCAGCTCCCTCAGAAGTCACGAGATAGAGCTAGAAGAATATGAGCCTCAAAAGCAAGGTAAGCCATTAGCCTTAAAATCTAACAGAAAATCTGACTCTAAGGTTTTGCAGGCTGTGGAAGAAACTTCTGATGGATCCTCATCAGAAGAGGATGAACTTTCTCTCCTCTCCAGAAGGGTTAACCAACTGTGGAAGCAAAGACAAAGAAAGTTCAGAAATCCCAGAAGATCAGAGAATCAGAATGAATCCTCCTCCAGATACAGAAAGTCCGAGTCTTCCTCTGGACACAGAAGATCTGATGGTTCTTCAGGATACAGAAAGCCAAACAACAAGGACATCATATGCTATTAATGTAACAAGCAAGGGCACTACAAAAGTGACTTCCCAAAGCTTCAAAAGGAAAAGCCCAAAAAGAAGTTCTTCAAGGAAAAGAAGAAAAGCCTCATGGCTACATGAGATGATTCTGACACATCTGTAGCTGACTCAGAATCAGTTGATGAAAGAGCAAACATAGCTCTCATGGCAAACGTATCTGAAGACAGTGAAGCTTCTGGTTCAGACTCAGAATCAGACACTGAAGAGGTATTTCCTGACTTCACCATAAACTTTACTAAGGCTGAACTTGTAGAAAGTCTAAATGAAATTCTGGAAAGGTATCAGCAAATCAAAGTCAAATTCAGGAACCTGAAAAGGAATCTTGCCTCTGACTCTGAAAAGTCTGAGAGTCTCATATTAGAGAATTCCGAGTTAAAAGAAAAATTTTCAAAATTAGAAAATGATTTGCAAAACTCTCAGAAGGAAACAATCTCTGAAACTCCCAACAATGCTGATGAGATCATCAAGGAGTATGATCACAACTTTCAAAAGTTTCTAGCTAAAAACATAGACATAAGCAAGATGGCTTCAATGATCTATGGAGTTAGCAGAAATGGCAGAAAAGGGATAGGATATCAAGGTAAGGTATCTACACCAAAAAATGCCATGGACTTAGTTATAAAACGCACACCACTAAATTCACATTTTATATATGGGAACACACATGACATAAAATACACAAGTAGTGATTATTCTGTCAAACCAAAATTCAATCAGAATTTTGGTAAAATTAACAAATCAGGACCCAAGAAAATGTGGGTACCTAAGGATAAAATTATACATGTAGCAGATATCTTTAGCAGCAAGGCTAAGATACCAATCATGGTACCTGGACTCTGGCTGCTCGTGACACATGACGGGAAGAAGGCATATGTTCCAAAGCATGGAACCTAAGCCTGGAGGCTACGTGGGCTTTGGAGGCAATCAGAGAGGAAAAATCATTGGCTCTGG